AATATATATACATACATATATGCATATATTTATTTATTTTTACACATATAAATATACACATATAAATATATCCAGAGATCATAAAACAAAAGTGAGACATATTCAAAGTGGAGAAATAGAGAAAAGACTATACAGCAAAATCGTTCTTCAAAAGGTGGATCCCTGTTGGCTAAAAACTTCCTTAAGTTGATAAAAAGTAAATAAACACGTCAGGAATTTGAAACCTCAAGGGCTCCATGGGTAGTATCAACTGACTCAGTCCCCAAGACAGCATATCAGAAGGACAGGAAAAGCTACAGGAAATGTGAACCCTTAAAAGACTTGGTGGGGGGAGAGGGCTGAGAGCAGGCAGTGGAGAGCTTCCTGCCCAGAGGTGAAGGTCATTGGTCCCAGAGGTGCCCACTCAGAGGTCAGCCCTCAGGGCTGTGGGAAGACACACCCTGCCCTATAAGCTAGCAGGGTGGGGCTGTGCATGGCAACCCCAGCCACTAACTCATCCCACACAGTCTTTACAGTAGGTAAAGATGAAGGGTTGGAAGGACATAAGCATTTTAATTAAAAAAAACTCTCAGTCATCAAAAGGAAATTTGCTGAACTTCATGTGGGTATTCACAAGTTCTATAAATGCCATGAAAACATAATGGTGTGAGTCAGTGATGTTTTCATGGATCACAGGTGACAGGAAGGTGTCCATCTGTGACCGTTCCAGTGAGTGGGCAGCCCTGGCTCCTCTGCAGCTCCCTCATGGGCTGGCATATGGCCGCCATCTTGTTCTGGGCTCACATGGTTCTCTCTCTTCTCCACCATCCATGCCGCTCCTTGGAAGTTCACATTTCCTCTTTTTATATAGACATGACCCATCCTGAATTGGTACATACCCCAAGTGCCTCATTATGGTTAAGTTATCCATTGAGGACACCAGTCCTGGGGGACAAATTTCAACATAGGAATTGTGCAGCAAGGTCAATAATTCCAGGTACAGGACTGTAATTCCATGTCAGAAACTCCACCTTCTCTCTAATAAAGGACTTAATTACATTCATTGACTATCAGAGAGCTACATCATCTTCTATCTCTTGGGTAACTCACTGGGTCAGAAGGAGTTAACCTTCCATTGTATGGCTGGTTTCACTTGAATAACATTAGGCTACATGTTTTTATGTGCTTTGGATGGACACAAGTTTTCACAATGTTCTGATTTTAATGAATAGTTTTTTGTTAGCAGGGATTAAAACAAGAGGAATTTAACCACTGAGCCACATTATTAGCACTTTTTATATTTAATTTTCAGACAGAGTCACATTAATGTGCTAGAGTCCTACTACTAATCCAAGTAACCTACGTCGATGACATAAAGGGCATTCATCATAAAACAAAGGTAAATATCATACTAAATGGAGAAAAAAAACCAGAAAGAATTTCCCTTTAATTTAGAAACCACAAAAGAGTGTTTACTGTTACTAATCCTATTTGATATAGTCCTTGAAACATGAGCCATTGTGATCAGGCAAGAAAAGGAAATAAAAGGATATAAAGAGGAAAAAAAAA